ATGGGATGTAAGATTTTGGGTATATAGTTGATACCTTGACTAATATGTAAATATTTTGTACATGTGCAGTACCCCCTTGGTACCTTTGATTCTTTAATATAATTTTACCTTTTACATTAAAAAAAAGAATCATGAAGGATACTTTTTTTGTTGAAGAGGAAATAATTATATTTTTTGTAAACTATGTGAGGATGACAGTAGGTCTTTTCTTGAGGTTGTGGCATGGGTGTCCCATCCGTGATTTAAAAGCTAATTACAAAGAGAGACCTCTTAAGGAGGATGAAATTAAGACAGCTGTTTAGGAGTTCGCTGATGAAAAAGCCCAAGCCCAAATGATTTCTCGATTGCTTTTTTTTCCCCCCTGGTTTGAAAGAAACAACTCAAAAATTTTTAATCAGCAATTCTGTTCTGTTATTAATGTGTGGGACAAGATTGTGTTCTTAGCTTGTCTTTGGACTAAAGTGCAAGATTGTCAGGGGAATTCCTCTTTCTATGTTTAAGAGTGATTTTGTTATTATATTATATTGATTCCTTACGTTTTTCTTTTTGTTTTTCCTATTTTGGCATGTTTTCCTTTTTTCTTTACTGGATAATAGGTTGTCTTCCTATAGAATGTATTCCTTTTTTCTTTATCTAATATATCTAGTTTTCTATAAAAAAAGTTGATGAGTTATCAATCGATTATTTAGTATTTAGCATTAAAAAATATGTGGAATATTCTGCTGAGCATATATGATAGAAGAGATATACGGTGGATATAAAACGTTAAAAGTTCTTTCGTATAAAATCCAGGCACAGAAGATGCACTATTAGAAAATGTATTCTTTTTCACTTGGATTTTGCTTTCTAGGAAATTTGTTTTGATTTGATATTTCAGAGTGCATTGACTTTATGAAGAATGACAGGTTCAAGAAGAGTATATGGAGGAAGACAACCCCCAAGGGCCTGAAGTTGAAGAAATTTGTTGAAGGACCTGATGGAACACTTATTCATGATAGTTCTTATGTTGGAGAAAATGCATGGGACGATGATCCAGAGCCTCTCGAGGAAAATATGAAGCAAATTATAGATAAGGATGCAAAACTAGATTTTGAAGAAAAGAAGGAACTTGGTGAAGAGTTGGGCATTTCAGGTTTATATGCATGTAGATGTCGTTGATTTGAGCTTTGTATTTGCCTTATGTTCATTCAACATTCTCAAAATACTTCTGTTTCTTGCTTGTTAGAGGTAGGAACACTTTTTACATAGTTTATTAGGAAATAGTAGAGAATTTTCTTTTATCCAGAAAAACAATAAAATATTTTCCTTGCCGTCTCTTCCTATGTGGTTAACTAGAAAAACAGCTTGTGATCATCAAGGGCAACCTTTCATTTGTGCTAGACAATTGGGACAAGATATAAATATTTTCACAAAATACACTTTACAAATTTCAAGACTCTCCTCACTAACCTTTGAACAATTGGCAAAAGTTTCTGTAATCTCTTTGAATACTGTATGGAGTAGAGACAACAGCTTTACAGAGATGTAATTGCTTTCTTGTAAAGGGGTAGTTATAGTTATGTCTATTTATGAGAGAAGAGCCTTGCATAAAGATTGAATAGACTTCAGGAAGTGCTTGAACGTGTCCATAATGAATCCCTTACAATCAAGATTCAACATCACTAGTCACAGCCACATCTTGCAACCCTTTAATGAATTAAGATTTCCTAGACATGTGATTACCTAGTGCTATCATTTAAGATTTCCAGTGTAGAAACAGTCAACTCAAGAATCTTATTCATCTATGTACCATCATAAGAAATATGGTGAATTATTTCAGTTTGTTCACATATGCAATAAGAAAATTCAAGTTGTACATAAATATTTGAGTAGTTGAGAAGTAGATCATCTAACTGCGGGTTTTAGTAATAGACAGAGTGTTTCCCTAAGGGATTTGGTTGGTTCTTGGCATGATAAACAATATTTTACTTGGTCGAGAGTGCGTAGAAGTTCAATAGTTAAATGAGGAGGATGTACAAGCATAGAACCCTGCACATCTTTTTTTTACCATTGTGATATGCATCAAAGTTGTGGACCAAGATCATTGATCTATTTGGTCTACTGATGGCGCAAGCAATTATAGGATTTCATTTAGCGTTGGAGTATTTTTAGTTTATTATTTAAGAATCTTATTAGAGTTAGGAGTTTATTTTATTAGTATCGTTTTCTTTTTGTATTAGGATTAGTATTTTTAATTTTTTTTTTTGAAACAAAGGACTAGTATTCTTAATTATATTAGATTACTATTTCTCAATGTAATTCTATGTAGGAAAAGGTACTAAAAAATTATTATAAAACAACTTTATAATTTCATTTATTAATCATTCAAATATTCAATAATAATTTTTTGAGAATTTCATAATTAATTGTGTGGTTCAATCAACCTTTAGATGTGATGTGTAAGAAACCTAGATATGATATCTAATTTTTTTCCCCAATTTCTTAGGAGGCAAATGAACCCTAATTTGTACCACATCAATTTGGTATTAGAGTTAAAAGTATCATACACCCATATTCTCAAAATACTACATTTAAAACAGTCCTAAATCCATCTAAAAAAAAATAAAAAATCCTAGAACAACCGCCAGCAC